GGCCAGTTCTCCTCTCCCCGAATTATTACTACGGAAAGGCCTCGGATTACCTTGGCTTACCGACTTTTCAAGCAACCGTCCTACCCAAAGATTAGTGAGAAGAGGTGAAAAGCCACTTCCCCCTAACCTTCTTAGGCTAACCACCTGGATTACGTTGGCTTACCGTCGTTTGGCGCAACCGAGTGACCCTTGCAAAGGTTCGGGGAGAGGTGGAGCACCCCTTCCCCCGGATTCTCTTAGGCCAACCACCCGGATTACGCTGGCTTACCGTCGTTTGGAGCAATCGATTCCCAGATGCCAGGGGTTGGGGAGAGGTGGAGCACCCCTCCCGCCCAGTATTCTTAGGCCAATGACCTGGATTACGTTGGCTTACCGTCGTTTGGGGCAATCGATTTCCCCGTGGCAAGGGTTGGGGAGAGGTAGAGCACTCCTCCCCTCCGTTGTTCTTAGGCCAGTGACCCGGATTACGTTGGCTTACCGTCGTTTGGGGCAATCTATGCCCACATGCCAAGGGTTGGGGAAAGATAGAGCACCCCTCCCCTCCGGTATTCTTAGGCCAATGACCCGGATTACGTTGGGTTACCGTCATTTGAGGCAACCGTATGACCCATGCCAGGGGTCGGGGAGAGGTAGAGCACCCCTCCCCTGCAGTATTCTTAGGAAAACCACCTCGATTACGTTGGCTTACCGTCGTTTGGGGCAATCGGTTCCACCATGCCAGGGGTTGGGGAGAGGTAAGGAGCCCCTCCCCTCCGGCATTCTTAGGCCAATGACCTGGATTACGTTGGCTTACCGTCGTTTGGGGCAACCGGATGCCCCGAGCCAAGGGTTGGGGAGAGGTGGAGCACCCCTCCCCTCCTGTATTCTTAGGCCAATGACCCCGATTACGTTGGGTTACCATCGTTTGGGGCAATCGGATGGCCCATGCCAAGGGTTGGGGAGAGGTGGAGCACCCCTCCCCCCCCCCGTATTCTTAGGCCAATGACCTGGATTACGTTGGGTTACCGTCGTTTGGGGCAATCGGATGGCCCGTGCCAAGGGTTGGGGAGAGGTGGAGCACCCCTCCCCCCCCCCGTATTCTTAGGCCAATGACCTGGATTACGTTGGGTTACCGTCGTTTGGGGCAATCCGATGGCCCGTGCCAAGGGTTGGGGAGAGGTGGAGCACCCCTCCCCCCCCCCGTATTCTTAGGCCAATGACCTGGATTACGTTGGGTTACCGTCGTTTGGGGCAATCGGATGGCCCATGCCAAGGGTTGGGGAGAGGTGGAGCACCCCTCCCCCCCCCCGTATTCTTAGGCCAATGACCTGGATTACGTTGGGTTACCGTCGTTTGGGGCAATCCGATGGCCCGTGCCAAGGGTTGGGGAGAGGTAGAGCACCCCTTCCCCCCCGTATTCTTAGGCCAATGACCTGGATTACGTTGGGTTACCGTCGTTTGGGGCAATCCGATGGCCCGTGCCAAGGGTTGGGGAGAGGTAGAGCACCCCTTCCCTCCTGTATTCCTAGGCCAATGACCTGGATTACGTTGGGTTACCGTCGTTTGGGGCAATCAAGTCCCCGGAACCCAAGTGATGGAATCCATCCGGATCGGACCCCGGATGGGTTTGATCGAACCCATTCGGATGGAACCCATCCGGATCTGGATCGATCGAACCCATTCGGATCCGAGTCGATCGAACCCATCCTTATCGAGCCGATCCGGATCCGGATCGATCGAACCCGTGTGGATCAAACCCATCCGGATCTGGATCAATTGAACCCATCCGGATCCGGATCGATCGAACCCATCCGGATCCGAGTCGATCGAACCCATTCGGATAGAACCCATCCCTATCGAGCCCATCCGGATCCGAGTCGATCGAACCCATTCGGATCGAACCCACCCGGGTCCGGATCGATCGAATCCGTCCGGATCCGGATCAAATGAACCCTTTCGGACCCAAGCCCATCCGGATCCGGATCGATCGAACCCATCCGGATCCGAGCCGATCGAACCCATCCGGATCCGAGTCGATCGAACCCATCCGGATCCGGATCGATCGAACCCATCCGGATCCGGTTCGATCGAACCCATTCGGATGGAATCGATCCGGATCCGAGTCGATCGAACCAATCCGGATCCGAGTCGATCGAACCCATTCGGATCGAACCCATCCGGATCCGAGTCGATCGAACCCATTCGGATCGAACCCATCCTTATCGAACCCATCCGGATCCGGATCGAACCCATCCGGATCCGGTTCGATCGAACCGATTCGGATGGAATCGATCCGGATCCGAGTCGGTCGAACCCATTTGGATCGAACCCACCCGGGTGCGGATCGATCGAACCCATCCGGATCCGGTTCGATCGAACCCATTCGGATGGAATCGATCCGGATCCGAGTCGATCGAACCAATCCGGATCCGAGTCGATCGAACCCATTCGTATCGAACCCATCCGGATCCGAGTCGATCGAACCCATCCTTATCGAACCCATCCGGATCCGGATCGATCGAACCCATCCGGATCCGGTTCGATCGAACCCATCCGGATCCGGTTCGATCGAACCGATTCGGATGGAATCGATCCGGATCCGAGTCGATCGAACCCATTTGGATCGAACCCATCCGGATCCGGATTCACCGGCCCCATTCGTATCGAACCCATTCGGGTCCGGATCGATCGAACCATCAAGGTCAAAGCCTAGGCAGGGTATTCCTATGCCAATGGCCTGCATTGCGTTGGGTTACGATTGTTTGGGGCAATCAAGAACCGAAACCCAAGTGATGGGGAGTGGTAGAATGCCCCATCCCTAGAGTATTCCTAGGCCTATGACCTGGATTACGTTGGGTTACCGTCGTTTGGGGCAATCCGAAAACACATGGCCGAATGATGGGGAGAGGAAAAATACCACTTCCCTAGGGTATTCCTAGGCCTATGACCTGGATTACGTTGGGTTACCGTCGTTTGGGGCAATCCGAAAACACATGGCCGAATGATGGGGAGAGGAAAAATACCACTTCCCTAGGGTATTCCTAGGCCTATGACCTGGATTACGTTGGGTTACCGTCGTTTGGGGCAATCCGAAAAAATATGGCCGAATGATGGGGAGAGGAAAAATGCCACTTCCCTAGGGTATTCCTAGGCCTATGACCTGGATTACGTTGGGTTACCGTCGTTTGGGGCAATCCGAAAACACATGGCCGAATGATGGGGAGAGGAAAAATACCACTTCCCTAGGGTATTCCTAGGCCTATGGCCTGGATTACGTTGGGTTACCGTCGTTTGGGGCAATCCGAAAACATATGGCCAAATGATGGGGAGAGGAAAAATACCACTTCCCTAGGGTATTCCTAGGCCTATGACCTGGATTATGTTGGGTTACCGTCGTTTGGGGCAATCCGAAAACACATGGCCGAATGATGGGGAGAGGAAAAATACCCCTTTGCTGGGGTATTAATAGGCCTATGGCATGGATTACGTTGGGTTGCCATCGTTTGGGGCAACCTGTTTATGCGTTCATGGGATGCCAAGATTGACCCTAGGGACCCCCCAGCCGGGTCATTTGATCCCAAGGGCGGATTTGAACCGGCCCATGGGTTCATCCAATTCAAGAGCCCATCCCCGCTCGGCCATTCTGACCCCCCCAGCCGGTTCATTTGACCCCAAGGGCGGATTTGAACCGGCCCATGGGCTCATCCAACCCTTGGGCCCATCCCCCCTCGGTTTTTTTACCCCCCACCCGGTCCATTGGACACCTAGGGCGGATCTGAACCGGCCCATGGGCTCATCCAACCCAAGATCCCATCCCCCCTCGGTTATTTGACCCCCCAGCCGGTCCATTGGACCCCAGGGGCGGATTTGAACCGGCCCATGGGTTCATCCAACCCAGGAGGATCCCATCCCCCCTCGGTTATTTGACCCCCCACCCGGTTCATTCGACCCCAAGGGCGGATTTGAACCGGCCCATGGGTTCATCCAATTCAAGAGCCCATCCCCCCTCGGTTTCTTTTACCCCCCAGCCGGTTCATTTGACCCCAAGGGCGGATTAGAACCGGCCCATGGGTTCATCCATCCCTTGGGACCACCCCCCCTCGGTTTTTTTTTACCCCCCGCCCGGTCCATTGGACCCCAGGGGCGGGTTTGAACCGGCCCATGGGTTCATCCAACCCAGGATCCCATCCCCCCTCGGTTATTTGACCCCCCCGCCGGTTCATTTGACCCCAAGGGCGGATTTGAACCGGCCCATGGTTTCATCCGACCCAAGAGCCCATTCCCCCTCCGTAATTCGACCCCCCAGCCGGTTCATTCGACCCCAAGGGCGGATTTGAACCGGCCCATGGGTTCATCCAATTCAAGAGCCCATCCCCGCTCGGCCATTCTGACCCCCCCAGCCGGTTCATTTGACCCCAAGGGCGGATTTGAACCGGCCCATGGGCTCATCCAACCCTTGGGCCCATCCCCCCTCGGTTTTTTTACCCCCCACCCGGTCCATTGGACCCCTAGGGCGGATTTGAACCGGCCCATGGGCTCATCCAACCCAAGATCCCATCCCCCCTCGGTTATTTGACCCCCCAGCCGGTCCATTGGACCCCAGGGGCGGATTTGAACCGGCCCATGGGTTCATCCAACCCAGGAGGATCCCATCCCCCCTCGGTTATTTGACCCCCCACCCGGTTCATTCGACCCCAAGGGCGGATTTGAACCGGCCCATGGGTTCATCCAAATCAAGAGCCCATCCCCCCTCGGTTTCTTTTACCCCCCAGCCGGTTCATTTGACCCCAAGGGCGGATTTGAACCGGCCCATGGGTTCATCCAACCCAGGATCCCATCCCCCCTCGGTTATTCGACCCCCCAGCCGGTTCATTCGACCCCAAGGGCGGATTTGAACCGGCCCATGGTTTCATCCGACCCTTGGGCCCATCCCCCCTTGGTTTCTTTGCCCCTAGGGCGGATCGGAACCGGCCCATGGGTTCATCCAACCCTAGTGCCCACAGGCTTCCCGTGTAATCGAA